GTTATAAGGTTACTTGCGGTTGGTTAAGGCTGATGAGATGTTCTCCTGTTGTAGTAGTACTCGTAAAGCTGCTGGGTAGAAACAAAGTGCCAGGAATGGATGTGCTGCTAAATGCGGATTCCATTGGTAACCTTCAGGAGAGGGAGAGCAAGGTGTGCAGCAGCCTGACTGAGAGCGTCAGGAACAGCAGGTGTGGAGAGGAAAAGGTTGTCCTGCTCAATCCTGAGAGGTGAGTCACAGGGAGGGAGAGAGTCCTGACGTGTGGAGGCCAATTTCTCAGCATCCGCAACAATAGTGAGACGCTGAGCAACTGAACTCCCAGTCTTCTTAAGCAGACAGCTCATCAGCGGTAGGCGGAGCCGAGTGATGTGGAAGTGCTGGGCGGAGCAAATACGTCCCTCAGATCTGAACGAAGGCAAGTCTCCTTACACATGTCTATGAGCTGAAGAGGAAAGTTCCGCTTTGTGATTGCTACTCACTCCACTAGAAGTGTTAGTGCTTCTGTGGCTTTTCAGCATCAGGCTACGGTTTCCCAAATCTGTAAGGCTTTCACCACCTGGTACTCTGGTAAGTTTTAGCAGGTGAATGTTCAGGCCTTTGCTGATGCCAGTTTTGGCCAGAAAGTCCTTCAGGTTGGCCCTTTGACGTCCGGTCTCTGTTTTTAGTTATCTGTTCCATGTTGGGGTTCATTGTTCCTTGGGCCTGTTAGCTGCTGTTTGCTGTATTGCTAACCCCTCTGCACTACTTTTGAACGTCCCAGTGGTTAAAGAATTTAATTGGAAAAAGGATTGGATCTCTCACTGGCTGATGCCCACCCGTCCGGTTTCTTTGGAGTTCTCAGTGGCTGTTGCCCACCCCTCGATTGCTTTTGGATGTCCCACATGTCTGTTATTTTCTATGTCCCTGTGTCTCGCAATGGATGGTAAAGTAGGATTTTTGTACTTACTGTAAAATATTTTTCTTGGAGTTTATTTGGGGACACGGGTAGCACCCCTCTGTATCTTGGCCTTATGTACCGCTTGTTCATTTAAATGAGGCATGATAGTTATGGGCTTAGTTCCACTTTTTCATTGTTCAAACTGTGAAGAACCCTTTACGAAGTTGAGATTTAAACCTCCTTTCATCCAATCTGAAATCTTCAGGGACCTTACCATAATCCATTTATTACAGCTACTATTATCACTTTTAATATATTTGCACATTGTAGCAGCACAGTGGTGTAGTGTTAGGGCTTCTACCTTGCCGCTGGTCCCTGGTTCGCATCCTAGCCAGATCAATATCTGCAAGGAATTTGTATTCTGGTTTCCTTCCACACCAAAGACATGTTGGTAGGTTAATTGGCTCCTGGCTAAATTGGCCCTAGTATGTATGCATGTAAGATATGGACCTTAGATTGTAAGCTTGGGAGCAGGGACTAATGTGAATGTGCAATATTTAAAGCTCTGTGTAAATTGCCAGCGCTATACACTGAGTGGCCAGTTTATTATGACCACCTGAGGTTTGTAGGCAAATTAGCTATAGTTAGCTATAATTTCGCGCTGAAGTTGCTAGAGGGCCAGACCATTATAAATAGGGAAGCAGGTTGTTTACCACGACAGTAGAAGTGATTTTTTTCTGAAGATATGGGTAAACAACGCGATTTAACAGCCTTTGAACGTGGGATGATTTTTGGCGTGAGCCATGGAGCAAGTATCAGCAAAACAGCAGAATTCCTTAAATGTTCAAGAGGGGCTGTTGTTAAAGTGTTTTAAAGACTGGACTGTCAGCCGAAAATCTGGGTCTGAACGAGCGAATTGGGGCCGTCAGCGACTAGTCAATGTGGCAAGACTGGTACAAGACAACAGAAGGGCAACAGTGCAGTGTCAGATTCCTCGCATCACCTTTTTAACATCTCGTGGAGTCACGAGGCGGCCCAACTAAGTCATCTTGTGAAGTCATCTCGTGGCCCAACAAAGTACTGATGGGGTGGTCATAGTAATCTGGCCACTCAGTGTATAAATACCTTAAAAAGTAAATATCCCCTCATAAGCCCTTCTTCACCATAGTAAATAGGTGTAATTTTTATAACTGTTCTTTTTTTTTTTTTTCTTTCTTTTATAATCGTCTCTGTAATCGTCATACCTGAGGTCCCCTCTCCTCTCTGAACACGTTCATGTAATCAGTATGAAGTACAGTATTAAATATTTTAGCAAAATTCAGTTAAACTACGTTTACTGGCTTTCCTCTTTCTCCTAGAATGCCAGCAGGATTCTCACAAGAACAGTCTTTAAAGAAATCCATGCAAAATTCTTCAATGTAGTCCCTGAAGGTGGCACATTTCAGCCGGTTCTTGAGGAACCGGCTGAAATTCGCACAGTGGGTGCTGTGTCTGCAGCTTTTCGGCCGGCATCCCTCGATCAGCTGATAGAAGGAGGCGGTCGGAAAATCATACAAACCGAGCTGGCAGCCAATGAGCTGCTAGTCTGAGTATTCTGACAGTGGCCACTGGTACAGTGGGGATTCCTCAATCAACGCACTCGTAGTGTTGATGGAGGAATCTGCTCTTCTTTTTTTTTTTTTTCTTTTCAGCCTGCAGGTTGAACGAAAAAAGTGTATGGCCAGCTTTTACTATTCCATCAAATTACACACTTTTGATGTTAGGCGTACTGGTCTGTAGTTTCTTCTTATATCCGGACCCTTTTTTGAATATTGGTACCATATTTGCTCTACATCAGTCAGTTGGTATTATTCCAGTCGGTAAGGATTCTTTAATAAGTTAGAAATAGTGGCTTGACTATAACAGAGCTAAGCTCACTGAGGACACTGTTGTAGTGATTTATTAGTATTAAGTTTTGCTAGTCTGTTTTGAATCCAGATTTCTGTTGGCCACAAAGTTACTCAGTACATTGTTATTAACATTACTACTCAGTGCATTTGTATTAGTGTTACTACTACATGATTGGTGTTTATTAACTTGACAGTGTCCTCTATTATATTTAATGGATAATGCAAAATTTGAAGATTGTATAGTTTGTGTGCACTAAAATGTAATTGTATATTTTTTTTTTTTTAAAACAATATAGGCTTCATAAACATTTGAAAATCTTCTTGTCCTTAGCAGGTCTTGGTATTAGGTAAACACAACCTCACAGGGGTGTGGACATTTTGGAAAAAAATACTTGTCCAATGACTAAAGTGGGGGCCCAATCTACTTGTCCCTCATGACAATCTACTTGTCCTGATACAAATTTTTTTTTTGTTAACCAAAACCGTATTTAGCAGTGCTAAGAAGCGCTTCTCATTGGTCAGGTGACCGCGTTGACCAACGAGTGCCTGCAATTTGCGAGCGACATTCAGAAAATATGGAACGGTTCAGGTAGTACACCCGTACTGGGGGACGGGAAGGACCGTTCGCCGAAAGGTAAGTATAAAGGGAGGGAGATTTGTGCGGGTAATTCCATTTTCCATTTTCCCAAATTACTTGGGAAAGTGAATTTACCCTTTGTGGTTGGTGCAGACTTGGGCAATCCCAGGACGCATGTGCGGTTGCATACAGCATTTGGGTCCGCATGTATGTTGTTAAATCTGTGTGGCAATCGCTGAAAAAAGGTACATGTACCTTTTTTGGCGGCACGCACTGCGCAGTGTTTTCAACCGCGATCGCGTGGGACCGCCCAGGCGGTATTGCGGCGGGAAACTGTGCGATCTGCCTGGCGGGACTGGAGTGCCATTAGAAAATAATGGCACTGCCAGCATGATTGGCGGTGGTGTGCGATTCAGTGACCGCCCAGCCATCTGCTCGGATCCGTGCACGATGACTGTGCAGTCACCGATCGCACAACACCGCAGATCGCGCTGGCAGTGCCATTATTTTCTAATGGCGCCCCAGTTGTGCCAGGCAGATTGCGTGGTTTCCTGCTGCAATACCACCCTGCCTGTGCATTTGCACATGATCGCGGTTGAAAACCTCTTCTCTCTAAAAAGATCATGGCAGCATGGCTTATGTTTGCAAAGTTGCATTTGAACAAACTGCAAGACTTCTGGAACAATGTCTTTTGGACAGATGAGACCAAAGTGTTGATGTTTGGACATAATGCACAGTGCCACTTTTGGCAAAAACCAAACGCGGCATATCAGTAGAAACACCTTATACTAACTTTGAAGAACGGTGGGGGAGTTGTGATAATTTGGGCTTGTTTTGCAGCCACAGGAGCTGGCCTCCTTGTAGTCATTGAGTCAACCATGAACTCCTCTGTATAGCAAAGTATTCTAAAGTCAAATGTAAGGCCATTTGTCTGACAGCTAAAGCTTGGCCGAAATTGGGTCATGCAACAGAACAATGATCCCAAGCACACCATCAAATCTACAGCAGAATGGCTGGAAAAAGAAAGAATCAAAGTGTTGCATTGGCTCAAAGTCCATACCTCAACCTGATTGAAATGCTGTGGCGGGACTTTAAGAGAGCTCTGCATAAACAGATGCCCGCAAACCTCAATGAACTGAGCCAACATTGTAAAGAAGAGTGGGTCAAAATACCTTGCTGCTAAAGGTAGTTCTACACTCTATTGAATCATAAGGTGTACTTAGTTTATCACACATGGCTTCTCCATTTTGATTTTATATCTGTAAAATAACTAATGACACGGTGCAATATGCCATGTGCTGTCCACCTTAGGTTGTATTTACCTAATTCCAAGACCTGCTAAGGACCAGATTATTTTTATAATGTCCTGATATCCAAAACCACAGAATTCAAAGAGGGTGTACTTTCCTTTCCACAAGACTGTATGTAGTTTTGAGGGGGTCTTAGTAAATTTTCAGTGAAAAAAATACACATTGTAATATGCATGAAAAATTGGACCCGCAGCAAAAAGGCTAAATTAAACTACGAAGCAGGTCTCCTGGAGAACATTTGCAGTTTTTTTTTTTTCTGGGGAAAAAAATGTCTGTTTTTAATATGTTAAAATGCGGGTGTTAAAGCAAAGAGTCACATTGACATGCTTTATCTGGTCTTCTTTCAGCTTAGTTCAATGGCTTAAACACAGCAGAAAAGAATACTGTGAACTATGCAAGCACAGATTTGCTTTTACACCAAGTAAGTTTACTTTGCTTAACATTCGGATTATGTTATTTCCAGACACATAGTGGCAATATTATGTAATAAAATCTGTTTAGTTAGATTTTAGTATGCTAGACAAATCTATCTATGTAAACAGCACTTTTCCTTCCAATTCTTCAGATGTCTTTATCTTACTTAATCATATTTTAACTTGAGCAACAGTTTTTTTGTTAAGCTCTCTACACATCACATATCCTGTCAGTATTTTTAAACTATCATACAAGTAATGCATGAAATACTGCTGCCAAGCAACCTATGTACACATGTTATCTGTTTTATTCACCTGCAATTTAGAACATCCATATAAGCATTGCATGTATACAATATCTTCAATGTCGCTATGAAAAAAACCCGAATTGTTTAAAGGGTTCCCAATCGCCCCCCCCCATACTTATCTTCCAGTGAATGGTCCTTACCCTTCGCCAGTATCTGTACCCCGTACTGCCATTAATTTTTAATTGGAATCGAAATCCATAGCATAGGGCTGCGCTGGACAACAGTACAGGGTATAGATAGTACACCTATATGCAGGGCTTGAAAAAGTTTAGGGTGTCTCAACAGTCAGTCAAAAATTTCACCAGTCAGCATGACTGAACTATAGCCTTGTAATTTATGTTATCATTTTTTGGGGACAAATAGCTTTCTTTTGGTGGTATATAATCACCATTTTTTACTATACACTGAGTGGCCAGATTATTATGACCACCTGACATTTGTAGGCAAATATGCTATAATTAGCTATAATTTTGCGCTGAAGTTGCTAGAGGGCCAGACCATTATAAATAGGGAAGCAGGTTGTTTACCACGACAGTAGGGGGTAATTTGTTTTCTGAAGATATGGGTAAACAACGCGATTTAACAGCCTTTGAACATGGGATGATTGTTGGCGCTCGGAGCCATGGAGCGAGTATCAGCAAAACAGCAGAATTCGTTAAATGTTCAAGAGCAGCTGTTGTTAAAGTGTTTAAAGACTGGACTGGTCAATGTTAGGGCAGAACGGAGAGTGGCAAGACTGGTACAAGACAACAGAAGGGCAACAGTGCAGTGTCAGATTCCTCGCATCACCTTTCAACATCTCGTGGAGTCACGAGGCGGCCCAACGAAGTCTTCTTGTGAAGTCATCTCGTGGCCCAACAAAGTACTGATGGGGTGGTCATAGTAATCTGGCCACTCGGTGTATAATGAAACAAGTACCGTAGATTTCGGGGGAAAAAAAAGTTTTCCGTACGTTATGTTAAACATTTATTCTTAACCATGTTTTTAGTAAAATATAAAAGACAGGGTCAAGTCGGGTAACTAGATAGAAACAGGGACACTGATACTCCAAATGCAGTTCAAATGTGTCTATTTAATTTTAATTTTATTGACGTAGATGCAGCATATCACACTGGTGCAACGTTTCGGGGATAACGATATTTTGGTATGTTGTGCTATTGAGACGTTGTTCCACACATATTAAAAGACCCGATCATGCCAGGAAAACATGCCCCAAACCATAACACTGCCCCCACCAGCTTGAAGGGTTGCACTCATGCATGTGGGGTGCATGCTTTCATGCTGTTTCCGCCAAATTCTCACTCTGCCATCTGCCATCTGCCATCTGCATGATGCAACTGGAAACGTGATTCATCGGACCACATTACTTTTTTCCAATGCTCGACTGTCCAATCCTTGTGTTCCTGTGCGAATTGGAGACGTTTTATCTCGTTAACTGCAGTCAGCAAAGGTGTTCGAACGGGCCTTCGGCTTCCATATCACATACCATGCAGTGTACGGCGAACAGTGCGTTCAGAGATCATATGAGAGGATCCCTAATTAAGATCTGCAGTAATTTGATGCACTGTTGCCCTTCTGTTGTCTTGTACCAGTCTTGCCACTCTCCGTTCTGCCCTAACATTGACTAGTCGCTGACTGCCACAATTCACACGTTCAAACCCAGATTTTTGGCTGACAGTCCAGGCTTTAAACACTAACAGCTGCTCTTGAACATTTAACGAATTCTGCTGTTTTGCTGATACTCTCTCCATGGCTCTGAGCGTCAACAATCATCCCACGTTCAAAGGCTGTTAAATCGCGTTGTTTACCCATATCTTCAGAAAAAAATCACTTCTACTGTCGTGGTAAACAATATACATACACTACATTACCGAAAGTATTGGGATGCCTGTCTTTACATGCATATGAACTTTAATGACGTCCCAGTCTTAGTCCGTAGGGTTCAATATTGAGATTTCCCACCCTTTGCCGCTATAAGAGCTTCAACTCTTCTGAGAAGGCTGTCCACAAGGTTTAGGAGTGTGTCTATGGGAATGTTTGACCTTTCTTCTAGAAGCGCATTTGTGAGGTCAGGTACTGATGTTGGACGAAAAGGCCTGGCCTGCAGTCTCTGCTCTAATTCATCCCAAAGGTTTTCTGTTGGGTTAAGGTCAGGACTCTGTGCAGGCCAGTCAAGTTCCTCCACCCAGAACTCGCTTATCCATGTCTTTTATGGACCTTGCTTTGTGCACCGGTGCGCAGTCATGTTGGAACAGGAAGGGGCCATCCCCAAACTGTTACCACAAAGTTGGGAATATGAAATTTTCCAAGGTTTCTTTGTATGCTGATGCCTTAAGAGTTCCCTTCACTGGAGCTAGGGACCAAGCCCAACCCCTGAAAGCCAACCCCACACCATAATCGCCCCTCCCACCAAACTTTATACTTGGCACAATGCAGTCAGGCAAGTACCGTTCGCCTACCAACCGCCAAACCCAGACACGTCCATCGTGTGATTCGTCACTCCAGAGAACACGTCTCCACTTCTCGAGTCCAGTGGTGGCGTGCTTTACACCACTGCATTTGACGCTCTGCATTGCACTTGGTGATGTGAGGCTTGGATACAGCTGCTCGGCCATGGAAACCCATTCCATGAAGCTCTCTACGCACAGTTGTTGTGTCAAATCTGAAGGCCACACAAAGTTTGGAGGTCTGTAGCTATTGACTCTGCAGCCAGTTGGCTACTTCTGCGCGCCGTGCACGTCAGCATGCACTGATCCTGCTCTGTCATTTTACGCGGCCTACCACTTTGTGGCCGAGTTGCTTCCACTTTGTTATAATACCTCCAACAGTTTACCGTGGAATATTTAGTAGCAAGAACATTTCATGGAACTTCTAAATCCAATGATTTGGAGGGGTGTCCCAATACTTTTGGCAAAAGTGTGTGTATATGTAATATTAATGTGTGTGTGTGTGTGTGTGTGTGACGTCATATTCCCACCAGAATTCAAATATGCATGGTATTTAGTAAAAGCAGACATGATCACACCTACTAGGACAGTGGTGGCGAACCTATGGCACGCAAGGCCCTTTCTGCTGGCACGCGAGCCAAGGTTCAGGCACCACAACATTAAGGCAGCCAAGCTGTCTAATGTCTGTAGGCAGGCGAGCGTCGGCAGGCGAGCGAGCAAGAGGAGAAGTGGGACGGAGCGGCAGGGGGTGGAGATGGGGGCGGAGATGAGAGGACGGGAGGAGACGGGGGACTGAGCTGCATGAGACGGGGCGGAGACAGAGTGAGATCGAGGCTGAGATGAAGAGACGGGGACGGAGCGGCATGAGACGGGGCGGAGACGGTGAGATGAGGCAAGACTGAGGCAAAGGCAGAGACCGCGATGGAGGAGGCGTCGCCATGGGGCCAGTCAAGCGGCGAAGCTGAGACGATTGGGCGCCGAGGCAGCAGTGAAGGCTGGGCTTCCCGTGTAAGGTAGGATACAAAGCATCCTTGAAAGGGAGTATAAGAAAATACAACACTAAGGGAACAGGGATGAGAGGGGGGCAATTTAAGGGATGTTAAGTATGGATCTAGTATAGGAGGAAGATAGTGAAGATCTCTCTTCGGGAATATAGGGATACTGAAGGTAGTAAGGGGACATAATCGGATTGAATGGGTGGAATGACAGAGGGATACATGTTAAATGCGGATAAATGGAAGAGATGGAGTATTTAAAATGTGTTCGAAAAGACTGTTAATTTGTTGTAAATGATATATGTTAAAAATGGAATAAAGATTTAATATACAAAATACAAAGATCTCTTTGTTGTAAAATAGGGGATAGTGTTACCATAAGTGGATGCATAAGATAGTCAGCCGACAGAAATTCTGCTTCTAGAAGCAGCCCATCAATCCAGATGGTAGTGGAAACCACATCTAAGACAGCAGAGCCAGCTGTCGGTCACGCCCAGCTCTGTGTCTCCAGACGGGGAGGTTGCTTTAGTGAACCTAAATGCACGGTTACATTAGCCAACAGTGAAATTTAGAGTTATGCAGAATGTGCGGGTGGTGTCTCTCCTCCCACACCGCTCGGCCGCCTATCACAGTGCGACAGAGCGGTGTGGGGGCGGAGACAGCGCTCTCACAGGAGGCTGGGCTCTCCTCTCGCACCGCTCACTCAGCCTCCTGTGACGGTGTGTGTCAGAGAGGAGAGCAGGCTACAAATACTCAGCGATCGGTGATCTCTGAGTGTTTGTAGATAATTGAAGATATGGTATGTGTACTATATCCTCAATTATGAAATGGGAGTGATCTATACCCCCTCCTGTTCATTCATATTTGTGGTTATAGTAAACCTACTATATTCTCAAGTTATCAATGAACAGGAACACTCATAGAGGATTCCTGTTCATTGATAACAAGGGGCTGCAGAAAAAGATTGAGACAGAAAAAGGGGTACAGAAGCGCTACTACCATATACTGACCTAGGTAAAACTCTGGAAGGGAATTGGCAACTTACCAAGGAGTGGATGTTAGCGCGTTATCGTCGGCGAGGGGTGGATGGATGGGAGTCCTTGGTTGGTGGGAGTGGTGGGTACTCAAAAATGTGTAAACGCAGATGGGGGTGTGTGGGTATGCCACTGCCGTGGGGTCTGAGGGGGGGCTCAGTGTCAGTGAGAGCCTGTGTCCAGATGATGTGTGTGGTAGGGATCTTGGGTAGTGGGGAGGACCG